TTGACTGTCTTAGTTTTGGTATTTGATTTAAAACTTCAACAATGATGTTGAGAGTGGAACTAACAACTGAAGTGGGTTAGTATTTTTTATTATTGAATTTTAGGAACTTTAAAGATTATTTAAACTTAAAATCAAACATAATGGCATTTTTCATCGTTAATTATTTCAATATTAGCATCTGATTTCTCTATTTGGTTGCACATATATTGAGATCCCCTGAGGGCATTATTAGCAAATTCTTGTTTTTATGTCATCTAAAATGAATTTATTATAGAATTAATCAGGTAAATTCATTTTGGCAAATTACATATAATACTAGCTAATAACCCGTCAAGAATGACGGGGTTGAAGGGTAATTAGTTTGTGTATATGGTACTAAATATACTTTATAAAAATATTAAAATTTAGGAGAAAATGAGGTAAATTTTTGAATTACACCTCATAAGATATTCTTAATTTAAAGTATGATGACCCTTCTTTCTTAATGGGCAAAATGAAAAATATATAACTAAGAATACCAGAGCTCCCGTTAGTCAGCATTGCTGAGCCCGTCAAAAATGATGGGGAATGAGAATTTTCTCCTTACTCTTATGATAGTTGTTACCTGTTATTTGAAAATAATATACAATTTTTATTCTTTATAACCCCCTCCCCTCCTTCAGACCAGGTCCAATCCATTAAAACAAATGCTATGTTTTGAGTCAAAATATATTTAAAGATTTTACTTGATACCCATATCAATATTATTTGTCAAAATATTACTGATCGCCTCCTAATATTTAATATTGAAAAAATTCCCAACCAAGGCCCAAGGCCATAATAATTTTGAAAAAATTTCCCCAACCCCAACCAAAGATCATAATAATTTTGGTAGTTAACTGGAATAAAATATGGGCCTTAGTTTTTTGATCGCCGAGCCCAGGCCTACAAAAAAAAAATGTTTTAGGTCAATGTCTGATCCATATTTATAATAAAAAAAATTCCAAGAGTCCAAGTTGATAATAATTTGAAAAATTTTTCCCAAGCCCAGCCTAATATAATTTATAAAAATATTTTCCATCCAAACTTACCCATTATAATTTTTAAAAAAAATTTTCAAACCTGGCCAACCAATAATAATTTTGAATTTTTTATTCCAAACCTAGAGCTTCCAATAAAAAAAATAAATATTACGTGATACGTGATGAAAGAGTTTTCGTCCTCTAGTTGTGGAAACAACAGAGCTACGCTAGGTTTTCCAAAGTCCATCAAACTGGATATTTAATTTGGGGGGAGAAAAATGAGGAGCCCTTAACACGTTTGTGGGCAAGCCGCACGTACTTGTACGCACAACAGTCCGAGAACTGTTGTTAAAACGTCCATAGGCTAATAACAAAAGAAGTTGGACAAAACAAAAGCCTATACCCGAGAACTAAAAAATAATATAATTTCTTTAAGGGTGAGTGGTGGCTGATTTTAAGCTTAAAATTTTAGTGTAAGTCTTAATGATTACTATAGATATTGAGACTAATGTTCTTATCAATTGTAAATTAAAGAGAAAAAAGAAATTAAGAATATATTATTTAACTTCTTGTGAATATTTTAATTTGGTTAATTTAATATGGTTTTTAATCTTGGAATTCTATTATTTGCATTTGTCAAAATAAATATTGATATAATTAAATTACTTTATCAAAATATAGTTTCATATATAAGAAGAATTGTACAAAATTTAAAATAGAAGGGGATGAGTGGGAACGTGTGCCGATGAAATGTTAAGTCTGGGGATCGAATCTGATTTATAAAAAAAATTTTAAAAAAATTTCTAATAAAATAAAAATAAACACTATTTGTATTAAAGAGAAAAATAACTGATAAAAAAAATTAAAATATTTTAGTATATATTTATTTTTCCTTCATTCCTAGATAACATTTTAGTAAATAACATTAAGATTATATGAAAACGTTCATTTCTTGATTACGGAGATTATATATATTGGATAACGAAAATTAAAAAGAATTTTAACAAAAGGGTCATCGGTTAATATTAAAATTCACTGAATATTTTATTTTGCGATAATGTTTAAGGAAAGAAACACAATGAACCTACATAGCCCGTTTTTTAAAAAAAACAATTGAGGCTCTTGAGTTTTTTTTTACCAAATATTAGTATTCTTAATCTCAATTTTCTAAAAAAAAATTTCTTTAATTAAATTAATTTCTTTTATTAGAAACGAGTGGTTTGTCTTTAAAGATAAAATATTTTTAAAAAGCAAGATTTTTTTGAGCCATCCGGTATTGAGTATAAAAAGAAAGTAAAATAAAAATCATTTATTTATGTAAAAATATAATTGTATTGTATTTATATTTAAAATTATTTGAAACAATACCAAAAAGTTATTGCACTTAATTAATATAAATTATGACTGTTGTAGGTATTTTCAAGAAGGAAGACATGTAGTGCTAATAGTAACATATCCAGGATTTTATTTTGGGAGTGGGACACGTGCAAAATAAATTAGCAAAAAACAATAATCCAAATTTAAAATTAACAATAAAATGAAATCCGAAATGCAAATAGCAAATAGCAAAAAAAAACTCGGACCCATTTAATCACCAAAACGGATCCCCTAAATATGATGTGTGCCAACATTATAAACACTACTGGTACTCTTTTAATATAAACTTTGTCAAGTCTTATATTGTCTCCAATTTTTCTATTTCTTAGCAAAAATGTTGACGGAAACGATAAATTAATTTATTATATTTATTCATCAGCAAATTTACTTTATTTTGGTGTCTTTTTAAAAATTTTATTGACTTTGCAACCTTCTATCTTGGCAAAGCTCATCAAAAAATAATTTTTATACTTCTCACACTTAGTTAAACTTAAATTTTAGATTTCGAAAAACTTTTATATAATTAATTGGTGTTTCAAAATATGAAAGAACTTCTCCAAATTTATATTTGAAGATTGTAAATATTTAAGTAACATATAACAATTTTATAATATAATCGCATTTCCCGATAAATATAAAAGGTAACCTTTTACATTATTTTATAAATAGCTTTTAGCTCCATTACTTTCCTACAACTTTTGCTAATTTATATAAAATTTGATAATACTACCATCTTGTTAGGGATAAATAGTTTAATTTTTTTAAAATATTTTCATTGGTTAAAATTTGGGTTTCCCTAATTCATCCAAAAATGTGCAGATTGTTTAAGGGGTAAATTATAATATAAATAATAATATTATTAACATCACTTATAACTTTCGTTTTATTAGAAAGGCCGATTTGGGCCTATTTTCAAAAGTGGTCCGATTAAAATTTTAGACAATATTATGTAAGCCTGAAGATTTTGCTCATAGATGGCAGAAAAGTTTACACCTTCATTTTCCAAATCTCTATTATTATTATTTTGGATAAGATCTTAATCGGGCCGTTTTTAAAAATCGACCCAAATCGGGCTTTGACAACACTATAATAACTCAATTCAAGTTGTGGGTAGCATAATAGGTATACTTTTTCAAATAAATTATTAAGGGATAGATGTCATGATAAAGGGCTATTGAAAAAATAAGTTATTAATTTGAGTTTACTGGGCCCGGAAATTTCTAATGTGAGATCGAAAATAATTTTTTTTAAAAAAATATTTTTCTCCCCCCCCCCCCCTCATGTGGTGTATTACCACCCCCCCCCCCCGTCCCATTTATTATTTTAATTATGATATTTAATACTTATAAATGTTTTATACAGTGTGAAAATAACTTTCAAAAATTTTCCGAGCAAAAATCTATTTATTTTTTTAAAGAAGATTATCCAATTTTACCTAAGAATGCCAAATATTTTTTGTAAAAGAAGTAAATATTTTGTAATTTTTATTATTCACAAATTTTTTTAAACTTGGTTTTATTTTTCAACAGAAATAATATTAATCAGAACAACCTTTTTTTAAATATAATATCAATTAAAATTGTTGAGTTAAATAGTAATTAATAAATTTAATATTTAAAATAAGGAATCCCTTAAAATTATAAAAATTTGTATAAGCTTAATTCATTTTTAATATATTTTTTTATATATGTATTAGCAATTTTGTAAAAATGTTGTCTTTTCCACATTCATTATATATATAGGACTTTGGTTGGGTTACATTATTTTATTTTTAATTGGGTTTATATTTTTCAAAAAAAATGCATTTTTCTAAAAAATTTGAATTTATAATCATTATTTTAAAAAATTATTATTTAATTATTATATTAAAAAATTATTATATACTTATTATTTTAAAAAATTCTTGTTATATTTCTTCCATTTTTAGAAAAATAAAACAAAGAAGAGGGAAAATTTTTAATGGGGGAAGAAATCCTACCCCCCAATAAGGTCAATGTAATATGGTGCTCCTTATAAATCTACATTATATTTAATATATGCTAAAACATTTAAATTAAGAACTTTTGTTCCTATGTTAAGTGAAGCATTTTTTAAAAAAAGAAAAAATATACTTGAGCTGGGCTGGACCAATTGCTCAAAATATTATTATGGCCAGGCCAAGGTTTTGAAAATTGCTGATAATTAATTTACATTTCCCTTTATAAAAAAAATTATTATGGGGCAGACAACTACTATAAAACTAAGCCAAGTAAAAAGTATAAATACCCAATAGAATATTTCAATGGGACAATTCAGGCCAGGTCGCATCAAACTAATGTATTTGATATTCATTTATATTAGCTGTTCGATATACAATTTATTTAATAATGAACATAATGTATATTTTATTTTAATCCAAATGATTGCTTGATCTAAGCCCAGGGGTCAATAATATAGCCAATAGATAAAAAATTAAAAACATGATTTTATATATTTATTTATAACACTCCTATCTTTTACGTTTTATTATTTTTAAGTCAAATAAATATATTTAAATAAGTAACTTTGTTTCTTCAAACATGTATAATAAATAATGTTTAAAAAAAATTAATCAGGATATTAATTGATATTGATAAATTTTACCTGCCAATAACCTCATTAATGTCATATTTATCGTCAAAAGGATATTTGGAATAATTATATGTCGAGGATTTAAACATTTAATATAAAAATATAAATAAGGTAAAATAAAAATAAAAAGTTAAAGAAATCATAAGAATTTTACATAATTTTAACGATTTTTATTTTTCATTTATACAGCTGCTTTTGGATGGATAACTTTTTTAAAAAAAGTATTTTTATTCTATTACTGTGTACATAAAAACGAGAGTAAGCCAATGACATATTGTCATTGAGTAAACCAAAGATTTACTTAACAGACTTAAAATTATAAAATAAAAGTATTTCAATTATAAATTTGAATCTTAGTGATATCAGCCAGGCAGGTGTAAGGAAATGATAAGGATCTGATTCGATTTCCAGGTTTTTGATTGAGGAGTGGGGTACCTTTTCTAATTCGTTCCGCAAAATATTTAAAAATGACCTAAATTTGCTTCTACCTTTGGTAATTAATTACATACTAGTCCTCCATCTAGGGCGTTTCCTCTATATGATAAAAGTAAATAGCTTATGATTATAAAAGAAAATGTTAATATGTCACTCTAGTTATGAATTTATCTTCTATAATTTTAAAATTTTATTTCTTATTATTTTTTAAACTTTGATTAGAGTTTTTTTCTGAGCTCAAATTAAAATATCTATTAAAAGTTTGAAAGCTAATAAAAAAGGTAAATAATTTTAAAAAACTTTTATTTCATTGAAATGAAATGAAGAGGTTTATTTAATGTAATAAAATATATTATATATTTGCAATAAGAAAATATATATCCATATTTACTTTTACAAAATTGTTTATCTTTTTAATCTATTACAATAAATTGTACCAAAGCAACAATATACAATTTATATTTATATTAAAACATTACTACAGTTCTCCCCACTACAAATTGAGTTCATCACAGTGGCGTTGCCCCCAAAAAATTTGAATAGCCTCCTGAAGCTAAAAATTTTTTTAATGCCTCTTAATCCCCTTGAACTAAAAATAAATTTTTTTGATAGCCCCTGAATGATTTTTTTTATAATTCTTTTAAGTAATATATAGATTTAATTTTATTATTTAGAAATTAATAAGCCTATCTAAATTTTTATTAAATGAATACTATTTTAATTATAAGATTAGATTAATACATATAAATTATATTTTCACTAAAATTCTGCCTTAAAAATATAATATCAATATCACTCACTAAATATTAATTACCCTAATTAAATAAATATAATCATTTATTATTTGGAAATTAACAAATTTAATATTGTAATTAGCCGAGTTCAAAATCACTAGTTAACTATATTATTCATTTTTAATTTAATTACCATGCAACTTCCTAAAAATATTTTCAAGGTTCAAATTAGTAAATTATATTTCTTTCTAAGTAGACATATAGTTTATAATCCTCTATTATATATAATTGGTTATAAAATATTAATAAAATGTCACGTTTACAGACATATTTGATAGTTATATATTATATTACAGTTAATATTTTAATAAAATTTACTAATAAATGTTTTTGATAATAAATATAAGCAACAATTTGCATACAATTTTTTAACGCCATCTATTTTTATAAAAATATTACATCGTATTATTCATCCCACAATGTATGTAATAAATTAGATATCTTTTTTTTTTATATGTTTTTATGAAAGCTATTTTATTTGAAAAACAGTTTTGAGTTAAATTTTTAATACGAGTATATTTTTGATATTATTACAAACTATTATTACTTTAAGATACAATATACCAACTAGAGGTGGTGCGCAATAATATTCACAATCTTAATTGCTTTCATTATATCGCTCTGGTTCTTATTTTATAGTTAAAAAATATGATATGGCATCCTTGCCTTGTAACTAACTCAATATATTTGCATAATTTCTTCTAAAGATTTTAAGTGTTTTTATTTAATCAATTTATCTAACATAATAAATTTTGATATGAGTTAACATCGTGAGTTTCATGGCTAGGACTGCAAATTAACCAGCATTTATTATTTGTGTGGTTATATAATTTAAGATTATTACTACAGCTGCTGAGAGCATATGATTGCATATTTTAGAAAGCAATAATTGTCAACTGTGTAGTCGTTTATATATCATTAAAAATGGAAGATAATATTTTAGAAATTTAATATCTCACAATAATTTTCTCCATTACTTATCTAGCTTCTATCATGTCATTTAAGAGGAAGCTCTAATCACCATATAGTTTTACGATTTGGATTGGTCGTTTATTTTCTTTTGAAAAATTGTTGATGCCCTTATTAGTCCATTCTATAAAAATTTGTCTAAAATGGTAACAGATTTATATTAGTTTAATGACCGTTTGTCAATGTAAAGTTGCTAAGAATTATATTATATTATGTGGTTTTTAAAAACCATTATCAATTGAGGCATATGCATAAATTAATTAACTTTTTTTAACACTTGCAATTCTTTAGATGTTAGCAAATTTTAAAATAGTATAATATATTAATATAAAATCCAGCTGAAAGCCGGGCAAAAGCGGGCCGAAGGCCCGCAAATTAAGAAATATGGGGGCTTCGCCCACATAAAATTTTTTTAGTTGAGCCCCCTGAGATTGTAAAGGCTAGCGACGCCCCTGCATCATGATAACGTAATGGGAGTTTCGAAACTCTTTTTTTAATAGTTGTATTTCCATTGTGTTCTGCATTGTCCAAATCCTCAGTCATAGTTATATGAGCATATCTCAGTTGGGACATGCTTGCTTTTTACAATACCCTCAGACTCAAATACAATATCGCACTTTTCCGTTGAACTACTGTCCCTTCATGTAATTCCGCAGTCCTTTCGTTTTCTACCCAAACCTTTGTTTCTCTTCAAATTCACGGGGCTCAACGTTCCTATCTTTATAATATTTTTGTTTCCATAATGCGTTTTCAGTTTCCCTCCTAGATAATTTCCATTGATCTAATCTTGAAGCCTTCCAAACATCATTTCAGCAGGGGATTTGCCGGTAGTTGCATTTGAAGTTTTTCGGTGAGTAATTAAAACATTCGCTAAATTTAACTGGTCCGGAGTTCCATATCTCCTTCCAGCATAGAAACGCACCTTTATCGTATGTTTATAACACTCCAAAACAATTCGATTTGGAGCTATAAGGGGCTGATCTAAAATGTTTTATGTTGTTTTTAAAAAGAAACTGAGTACCGTTATCTAAGATAATATAGCGAGGGAACCCAAATCTAGCGAAATAATTACTCAGATTTTTTATTCGCTGAATTAATATGTAGTAAAATTGCAACTTCAACCCATTTGGTGAAAGCGTCTATGCAAATTAACCAATACTTTCCAGATACGCGGCCTGCCAAATGAATGTGTATTCGTTCCCAAGGTCGGATAGGAATGTTCCAATTGTATAACGGCACTTCTCTGCTCCCGGTCTCCCTTCCTGACAACTCTTGCAGCATTTAACTCTTCAACATCACTCATCTCCACTATCCCAGTATTAACTTGATGAATAGCATTCAAAACTTCCTTCTTTAGATTATCAGAGAGAATAATTCTATCTAAAATATTAATCCTTCTTCGAATAAAATATAATCTTTAATTAAAATGATTTTTTTTTAAATCTCTAAATAATTATTTATATTATCAATATACCAATTATTTTTAATTAATTTAATAATCTCTTTCAGATTGATATCATTGCTCGTTTAACTTACGACTTTACTGCGAGTGAAAGATAAATCTTCTATTAAATTAATTTTTAATTATCTAATTTCATCTTCGATTTTTTTTGTAACTTCATTAGTTTTTTCTCTCTCTACCTCCAAACGGGACAGAGCGTTGGTACATATGTTTTGATTACCAGATCTATGAATTATCTCATAGTCGTATTTTAATAACTTCGTCGCCCACCGTATTAAACGTTTATTTTTATTTTATTTAGCCCTCTTTTATCACCTAAGATATATTTTAAAGGTTTATGATTTGTAACCAAAATAAAATGTCTTTTCAGCCTCAGAAAGTGTCCTAGATGCGTAAGCAATCGGTTTTTCCTGGCCAGTAAGAAATCGGTGTGCAATAACAGCTTCTAGACCATCTTCGTATCACAAGAAATTACGACAGGAATATCGGCTGAATAAGGAATTGTTGTATTTTAACTCTATTAAATATTTCATTTTCCTCCGATTTTAATTTTATCGGCCGTCGTTGTCAGTCCAGCAATATCAAATCTTCTTAATACTTCTTCTAGATTAACTATATGATCAAAATTATTAGCGCCTGCAATAATTACGTCGTCTAAAAATACACTAACCATAGGAATTCCCTTTAATAGGTTTTGCATAAAGCGTTAAAATATTATCAGAGCGCTAGTCAACCCAAAAGGGATTCCTTGGTATCGGTAAACCGACATGAGAAGAAATTACTAAAAGGTCCCTACATTCTGGACTAACTCCGAATTGTAAAAAGGCATCTCTTGAATCTATCGTTGAAAATATTTTGCAACCCGGATCCTATTTGTCAGGTCGACGAAAGTTTATAGTAAATCGTTATGTATTGCTAAATATTTGTTGATTGTTAAAAGAAAATCTCCGCATATCCGCACGGCACCGGATTTCTTTAAGATATTAACCGTTGGCGTACCCAAAGTGATTGGAGTTGTTGTTGGATCCTCCTTCTCGATAACGCCAACGTTTAGAAGTCTGTCTAACTCAACTTCAACGGGTCGACGCAACGGAAATAAAATTTTGTAAACAGTAGCGCAATTGACACTGTATTTGGTTGTATCTTGATGACGGCTTCCTGTAATTTTATTTGTCCGAATTTTTTTTAAAAAACTTGCAGAAATTCCGAAGCAATAGTATTTAAACTGGAAAAATTCATATTTATATTATTAATCCGAACTTCTTCCGGTAGTTTTGTATCAAATTCTCTAAGAAAGGGCATTCCAAAAATAAGGGTACTCTCACCTTTAACTACCCAAATAGGTAAAAATTTTGAAATAGTTTTTACTTCAACTTCCACATAACATTTACCCAATACTTCGATTTTGATATGGTTATA